GAAATAAAACTGTCCAATTTTTCCATTCGTCGTACCATTTTTCACGATGTAGTGACTTAACCGGAAATAAAAACATGTCAACCAGTCTATAGTAAAAGATATTTTGACAGCATAACCACAAGTTATCCATATGGTTACCAACGTGATGTCGCAGGAGAAGGAATATAATACATCAGAGTAGGGGAAAACAGTCACTTGGTCGAGGTATGACAAAGCTGTTAGTTGGTTCATTTCCCTTTTTACAACCAATGCATCAACAAGTAAACGACAAGATGGGTTCAAAGCATAGCATAGAAAACGCTTTATCCACGAGCTCTAGGAACGATGATGATGATTGTCGGAAACCGGTGGAAAAAAAAATGAAAAATACGTTTCCCAAAATAATCTTCTGAATCCGAAAAAAAATGGATACAGAGTCATGAACGATAGTTAATCCAATTGCAAAAGCCGGTCTTTTTTAGGACCAACAGATTACCATCACCTCTTCTGAAATTTTCTCCAAATGAACTAAATATTTTTTATTCTGATGTCACCAATAGGGGTACTCCGCTCCATCATATTGACTTAACAAATGCTTAGTCCTCTCCACTTGATCAATCAAAACCAATTTTTTCTTTATTACCTCTCACGTCTTGCGAAGTTGAACACTCTATCTTAAAAAGTAAGTCAACGTCAGGGGGGGCTGACGGACTTTCCTCAACTATGCTCAGGTTATCTGTTTATTACATTGCACACTATGTTGAATTTCTAATTAATAAATCGTTTCAAGTTGCTGAATTCCCTTTGCCCTGGAAGCGTGCGTTAAAAATGACTCTTGCTAAAACCAAGTCCATGAATTCACCATCAGATACACGCCCTATCTTAAAAATGACTAAACCTTCCAAGATTGCTGAAAGACTTGTTTACCAACAACTCTATTCGCACCTTGAAATGAATAAGTTCCTAAATCCCTACCAAACGGGCTACCGAACTGGTCATTCCACTCAGGCTGCTGATCTGCAAATCACTGAGGACATACGTAGAGCTGTTGATTTGGGTAAAGTGACTGTTTTGGTTTTATTCGACTTTCAAAAGGCATTCGATACGATCATGCATGCTAAACTTCTTAAAAAGCTACGTCAGATGAATTGTGATGATAATTCTTTAAAATGGTTCTATTTCTACCTTTCTGGTCGTACTCATGCAGTTGTGGATGGGAAAGACGGGCACTCTGATTGGCTCACATCGTCTTCAGGTGTCCCCCAGCGTAGCGCTTTGGGCCCTTCGCTCTTTCTGATATATATAAATGATCTCCCTTTATGCTTTAAATATTGCAAGTACGTAATGTATGCCGACGATGTGCAAATATATCTCTCTTGTCATCCCAATAATATTGTCAATCCAATCAGTAATGTTAGTTCAGATGCAACGGCCATAGGGCACTGTGCACTTGATAATGATCTTGCACCCAGTCTTTCTAAGATCAAGGCTATAGATTTTGGCAGCGCACCTCATATCGCACGCCTCAACTCTGAAAATATTCCACCTGTTACTCTTGATGGTATGGCTATTGAATATGTTTCTGAAGTCAAGAATCTTGGTCTCTGGTTAACACCGTCTCTGCATTGGGGAAAACATGCTGCTCATGTGTCTAATCAAGCTCTCCGTGCACTTTTTGGTCTTAAACATTGTAAGCATGCTCTGTCCGCCTCACTAAGAAAACAATTGGTTGAGACATTGATTTTTCCCATTTTTGATTATATGTCTGTGGCCTCTCATTCTATTGATACTTCTTCAAATTTTCGCCTCCATACCACCCTAAGGTGTGTGTACGCTTTGTCCATGGAGGGATTGGCAGGTACAATAGAGTGACACCGTTTCGAATCGCTTTGGGGTGGCTTTCTGTTGGTAGGCGCAGAGAGTATCTTTTAAGTACTTCAGCATACTCTATATTGGCGCACAACAGCCCCACCTACTTAGCCGCACGTTACTCATGGGTGATGTCCCACCCACAATTAAGAAGAACTACGTGCTTTCCACTGCATTATCTGTTATGCCCTGCTTTTTGCACAGAAACCATGAGAAATTCTTTTTTGTTGCAATCAACTATACTTTTATCACGGCTACATCAAACAATATTTGATCAAACTCTAATTACCTCTTTCAAACGCACACTATTTTCTCTTCAACTCACCCTCGACTCGAACCAGTGGAATGCAGAATGCAGACTTCCCCCCGGCTCTAAATTACCCTTTATGCTCTTTTTATGCTCATCATCACTCTTCTCTCACCACTTTTATCACTGATACACATATTGTTAGACAAACGAAATTGTATAGGGACATATTTTTTACTGCTGTGCCATATTTTTACTGAATTATAATCAACTGATATTATTACATAGGTATTTAAACTGTATAATTACTTTGTACACTTTACTATTATATTTTTTCGTATGTAATTTACTTGAAGCCATACGTGGTCATACCACATGGCTTAATAAATGCTACTTATACTTATACTTATACTTACTCATTTATGCTAGGTAAAAATGTAATTGATTACCTGATACTCGTATCAGTGTTGCGTCGGATGTTTAATGAAATATGATACATATTTAAAAAAAGATAAAATCAGCACATTCTTTACCACGAAACTTTAACCATAAATACAAAAATCATCCTTACGTACCGAAAAATGTATTTAATCGCTTTGTACTCGCGTCAGCGCATTCTTGAAATCGTTGCGATGAATGTTTGATGAAACTTGATACATATTTCGAAAACTGTGACATCAGCACATTCTTTACCACGAATCTTTAACCTTAAAAAAAAATTATCTCGATGTCAGTTACTCGTGTGACTTTAACCTTAAAACTGGCACGAATAAGGAGGAAGCTTTGTAACAAGGTAATCTTGATCATGCGCAATAGTTGCTCCAACTGCTGCGACGTTACAAGCCGATTGGTTGCCATCCATGAGCATGCGTAGACACGCCAGCGTTCTCAGAAAGCTCGTGAACGCAAAAATTCATCCATCGTCAAAAAAAAAAAATAATCGTACCACAGGGAGGGAGTTTCTTACCTGCTTTGTTGGGTCCGCTCCTCGGAGCAGTGTTGTCGATGCTGTAACTAATATGGAACTCGTAAAAAGATGATTCTTCTGCCTTAAAAAAGCGTGGATCGATTGCGAAGCGCATTCCTCAACGATGGTCTGAAGTCTGTTCGAATGCTGGGCACAACAATAAGTCGGCTCGACGCAGAAATGAATGACATCTTGAATTTACCGTATACCGATGAGCGAGAAAAATGGAAGAAATACCAACAAATTTTACAACGATATTTGCACCTTAAGGAATTGGACAGCGAAAGAAAACGACATGCTGGCACGATCACGGAGAACACTAAGGTATCGCAAGATAACGATCCCTCTGCCGACAACGTCGACGAGGACGAAGAGAAACGTAAAGAGGAGGAAAAGCAGGATACCGAGATTATCGAAAGCGTACCAAAAAAGTTTTGTCAAAAAGCTGCACTTATCATACGACAATTGTGCGCTACTGGTAACTTTGAGTAAACCAATGAATACACCGTCATTATAGGTTACGTTCGCATACCACAGTCGAACATTGTCGATCAGGTGAACGATGCCTAGAGGAACAGAAAAAAACGCACACCCGTGGGCCATGATCAGTTTGCAGTGGCACTTCGTATGGCAAACATTCCGCAAGAGTGTGTTGAAAGCGCTCAAGTATTAAAATTTCTGATCGATGAAGACGACGACCATGACGACGACGACGATAAATCAAAATCGCCAAATAAGAGTCCCAGATCTACGTTGAATAGTGGAAGTTTTCTTGATGAAAGTAGTGCTAAATCAACGAAGTCACCGAAAAATAGAACAAAATTTTAAAAAGTTGTGCCTTCGTCGATTCAAGTACAAACATGGCGTCGATTGAGCGGAAAAGTGACCAAGGCGAAGAAACAGAAGTAAAACTCGAGGAGGAGGAAAAAAATAGTGCTCTCGACGCTTTAATCGAGTTGCTACCATTTGAGATGCATGTACCTGGATACAAATTTTGCGGTCCTGAGACGAAGCTATCGAAGCATGGTGATGTGGGTATGAATCCCTTGGACGAAGCATGTCGTAAACACGGTCTTGCCTACGCTACGGAGAAAAAGGGTCAACGTGTAAAAGCCGATCGGGCGTTGGATAAATTTGCTTTTTCGCGTCTGCTAGCCGGAGAAACACCGCCGAATAAGCAAACAGTCGCTTTATTGACAGCATGCTGCATGTGTAGCAAGATCACATTTGAAAAGTTTTTTTCGCTCATTAAGAGAGCCATTGGCCCTAAGTCTAAAAAGAAGAAAAAGAAGAATAATGCATGAGACATTGCATAAACTTTACTACGAAGCGGCGCGACCAACTGCATACGCTGGTGGTAACAAACTTGTAAGTGCTGTGGAAAATAAATTTTTGCGATCGAACGTTATTAGTTGGCATGAGAGTCAAGATACCTATAATTTACATAGGCCTATAAAAAATCGCTTTCCCAGAAGAAGCTATAACCTGCGTAACTTTGACGACGTGTGGGAAGCTGATTCAATGAACTTAAGAACCTTAAATACTTACAATGATGGCTACGTTTATGTTCTCGTTGTCATCAATGTCATCAACAAATATGCTTGGGCGGTACCAATCAAGCATAAAACATCGAAAAACGTTGCCAAAGCATTTTAACCTATTTTATTAAGAAGCGACGATCGTACACCAATGTGTCTCCAAACGGATAAAGGTAAAGAATTTGTGGGTCGTGAAATGTGATCCATTTTACGAGAAAATAAAATTAAATACAGGGTAGCACGTAGCCCACAGACAAAGGCTGCAATATCCGAACGTTTTATAAGAACTGTTAAAGAAAGAATGTGGTGATACTTTACACATGCAAACAATCGACGCTTCGTAGACATTCTTTCAAGTATAATAGAGTCATACAACCGCACGAAGCACTCGTCAACAAAGATGGCGCCAGCTGACGTGACTTTGCACAATGTTGCACGAGCACGAGAAAACATAAAGCAACGATATGATAGGCATATTTATAATAATCCAAAGTACTACGTTGGAGATTTAGTTTGTATTAGTAAGACGAGAAGTGTCTTTGCCAAAGGTTATGAAAGCGGTTGGACGTTAGAGCTGTTTAGAATCGTACGTATCTCTTGCACGTGCCAACCTCCAATTTATTTTCTCAGAGATTTGGCTGACAAAGACATTGACGGTTTCTTTTACGAGGAAGAGTTAAGCAGAGTACGAAAGGAACTGAGCAAGAGCTTCTTCGAGGTTGACAAGATATTGGAAAGTCGAAGTAAAGGACGTTCTAAAGAACTTTTCGTCAGCTGGAAGGGATATCCTGAATAATTTAATTCCTGGGTGAATGGTAATTATTTAAAAGATATAAAATGAAGGACGACTTTCACGTTGTGTTGCATAGCAACAGTAGCATGCAGTAGTATCCTGATAATACTACTACGCCCTACGTGACAAGATTACCTCAGCAAATTAGTTTGCAAGGTCAATGGAGTGTTGGTATAACAGAAATTCAATTACCATTGACGTTTCAACATGCGATAAAAAATAACGAAAGAAAAATTGTCCTACAATATATACCACGACTACACAATAATGTACACACAGGAAGTCCTGTGATTCATGAAGATAATTACATACTACTCGGTCTATACACAAATATCGAAGAAATGGTACAAGAAATCAATAGTCTCGATACCACGCAAGATCATGTGGTTTGTAGTTTGGAAAGGGGTGGTTACGTAGTGGCTAAGTTAGTCTGTTCCGAAACAGCGCGCAGTGAATACATGTTTTGCTATTTAATATTGTCTTAAAAATAACGTAAAATCTTGGGCTTCAAAAGTGCAACGAGTCTTTTCTTGGAAAATAATGAAATTCGATCCATTCGTCCAGCAAATCTCGCCAATGCTTTACCGTCAATGCTCATAATTTACAGCGACCTCTGTGAACCATACATTGTAGGAGACGTCTAATCGCGTTTGTTGCGGACGGTGTCATTGGATCTTCAAGGTTACGCGTACGGTTGTGTTGAAAATAATATTGGAACCATTGGGACCCCCTGTCAACAAGGACACGGAGATATCGGACCGTTTCTTGCTGGAGTATTTTGACGAGTTTTACCACTCATTAAACGAGGTGCCAAAGCGGTTGGCAAAGCAGCTGTTCGTGCAGGTATGAACATTATGTCTGACGTAACACCTAAAAATATACCTTTTAAAAAGACATTCCGCACTCGTGTGATGGAGTCTGGTAATGCGCTAAAGAGAAAAGCCCAGGAAAAATTGGACAAGCTAATAGAAGGATCGGAATATAAACTTGGACGGCGCGACAAACCATTTCAGTTGCAATTGCTTCTGTGCAGTCAAGGCGTGGTTGGCGTAAGAGTAAAAAGAAAAAACTAAGAAAGCGTGTAAGCAAGATAAAAAGAAGAAGAAGAGAACAATGAAAAGAAAAAAAAATGATGGCACAGAGAACTGCAAGAGACATTTTTGAAAGTTAAATTCTTAAAATTGACTTTTTTACACAGTTACTCATGCAAGTGCTTAAAGTTTGAGCTTCTTTTGTTTGATACTCTGCTGACTCAAACAACTATCGAGGAATCGCACTGAATTCAATACAAGCCGATATCATCGCTCATGGATGATTCACCGATCAAATTTGTCGTACCAGGTAATGGTAAAGAATACATCGATCTCACGCACACGATGCTCAGTCTTCTTGTCAAGTTGGCCGTCAATGAAGATGAAAAATTAAATACTGACGTAGCATCTAAGATCTCAAAGACGGGTCCAATCAATAATTTTATGCATTCGTTGTTTAATCAAGTCGATGTGTTTTTCAATCAGGAACCTGTATGGCCTCTTAACAACGCGTACGCTTACAGAGCGTATTTGAAAACTTTATTGGATTATGGTCCTGTGGCAAAATCATCCTATTTAACGAGTGCATTATGGTACGACGATACGGCGACAAAGATGGACGATGTGTTGGATGCCAACGTGGGTCTCTTCAAGCGACGTACACTACTACCAGCAAAGAAATCGATTGACCTGATGGGTCATCTTCATTGCAATGTATGCAATCAGAAAAAATTACTCATCAATGGCGTCGAGGTGAGAATGCGATTAGTAAGATTTCGCGATGGATTTTGTCTCATAGACACTTCCAACTTGGTTTCCGTTCATATCGAAGAAACAAATCTTTTAGTGAGATGCGTTAAAATAAGCCCATCTATTTTATTAGCTCATACCAAAGCTTTGTCAAAGAGTACAGAAAAATATCCGCTCACGCGTGTCGAAATAAAAGCTGTGACGATGCATAGTGGTATTCATGGCAAAACTTTAGGTAATATTATTTTGGGTCATTTACCTAAGTGGATAATCGTCAGTTTCGTGCAAAATCAAGCTTATAATGGCGATTGTACTATGAATCCGTTTAATTTTAGTCGTTTCAATATGAATTTTCTTTGTTTGTACATTGACGGTGTTTAAGTTCCTTCCAAACCATTACAGCCAGACTTTAATTCGAATAATTCATACGTAGATGCTTATCATACCTTGTTTTCGGGCACGGGCGTTCACTTTCTCAATGGAGGAAACCACATTGATCGCGAATCTTATCCCAACGGTTACTGTCTCTTTGCTTTCGATTAAACACCGGATTTATCGGCCAACGAATGTTCTCATTGGAACCTAATTAAACATGGCAGTGTTAGATTGGATATTCGATTTGCCGACGCTCTAACTTCTACTGTTAATTGTATAGTGTATGCCGAGTACGAGAATATTCTCGAAATTGATGCGTTACGTCAAATCATGGTCGACTATAGTGGTTAGATGGCACCACTTACTACACATATTATACTTACACTCACTACTTGGACACGCCAATCGTCTCTCGGGTTAGTTGCTGCGGGTACGCTCAATCATCCATAAATCGCAATGGAGCTCGTAGTCAACATTCAGTATTTCAAGGTGAAGAAAGACGGTGCCGAAAGAAGTTGCTATTGTTGCTTTGAACAATGACTTTTTCGCACATTGGAGACACCTATTTGTCGTTTGAAAAAATTGAGTAAGGTGGCGCAACGACAAAATATTTGGTTGTCCTGACATCATCATGGCCTTGATTTCTTTGAGGGTGAAGTACCTTTCATAGAAATTTTTAAAATTTTAAATGATTTTGGAAGAAGTGCTAGAAAAATTTACGTCAGAGGTTCCAAAAAGTGGTACGATTTACGTAAAATAGCTTTTTGTCAAGTAATGAATTTAAAATACGATATTGACTGTCCGCCTTTAATAGATTTATCATCGGTTGTGTATTGTATGCTTCACGCATTAAAACCAAATCTTTAAAAATATTGGTGTGCCTTAAATAACGCTCATAAACTAAAATCTTGGCTCTGTGAACGTAATGGACAGCCTACAGATACTGCAGATTCTGTCACAAATCACAACGCATACAACCTGTATGTTCCCAGACGATCAGATTCCACGGGTGTGGACGAAACCGACAATACTCGTCATTAACACTGACGATCACACAAAACCAAGTATGCATTGGGTTGCTATGTACGTTGATGCACATTCCTATGGCTTATATTTCGATAGCTATGGTACTTAACCTTATGTATCACAGCACATTAATCGATTTCGTAAAAATTGTAAGAAACCGCGTTGGAATGTCAAACAGTTACGAAGCATATCTTCAAACGTGTATGGTCAGTTTTGTTTGATGTTTTTGTTTTACATGAGCAGCGGTTTAGGTTTTCCAAAATTTCTCGACAATTTTTCCACTGATTTAAAAAAAAAATGTCAAAATTGCTAGACGTTTTATGTCATTGAGATGTAGCAAAAAAGAATTTGAGAAGCTCGGTGTCAGTCGGTAGCAATTGTCTGGTAAAATGTTTACAAAAAAGTTGCAGTCAAATGTCTTTGATATAAGTGTATCAATAAATATACTTGTAGTTTGAGCATTCTTGAACATCTAGTGACAGACACTAATGTTACATTTTCATGAATTTCAAAAATAAACGATGTCAGCGTTTTGCGCTCCTACCTCTCAATGTTTATAGTTTGTAAAAAATTATATACGCTGCGTTTTTTTTATCCGCGCGCGATACGCGATCATACTTGCTTTATTTAACATTATCCTGAATGTGTTGTCGACGCAATTTTTCATGCTGAAACGTGACTCACCATCTCCAAACGTTTTTCACACTGTCTCTTTCAAGCTACAACTAGTATAAAAAGTCGAATTAATCGGTAGTCTCTGCCTGCTCATCATATCATCAGTAGAATTAAACAGAAAAATGGAGTTCCAGAAAAAAAGGGTTGGGTCGTCGGTAGCAATCAATCTCTCAAACGCAAAACAGTATCAACAGTCACCTCCGCAAATTTATTCCAAGCTTTATGGCTTAAATAAATCATTTGGCAAAAAAGTCATAGTTGGTCTGGAATATAAGAAATTACTTGACGACGATTGGGAACCTGTAGTTTGTTTATTACACACAGATTTTTAAGGGATTCCTTTCAAAATTTCAGATTAAAACGAATTTAAATTGGCGTTTACAGACATTGAGTAGTACTTTACCACGGATGACAGCAACTTGCAGGACATCAAAATTTATGGGTCTGACTGGTCTCAAAAGCTTACTGTTAGTTATAACGACAAGGCTATTAAGCTTGAAGAAGGATGAAATACGGTGTAAGTGGTAGTGTCGCAAAGCAATATCATCGTAGTTTAGTTCTAAAAAAGGTGACCTTTGATCATTTAAGCGAATTGATGGTCAAATGTATTGATTGTAATTTACGTGAATTGAGTGATTTGTGGGATTTGATGCCTACTGTTGTGCAGAAGTTTGTAGATTATATTTTAGAAAAACGTAGTAATATGTATAAAGCGCAAATCGATTATGATAATTCCGATATTGTGAAGAAAATTGTAAGAGATATGAATGATTCAGATTTAGAGAGCGTGTATGAAAAAGTTGTGTCTACAGATACGACAAAATGCGAATATTTGATAAAAGAATGTGTATGCGATTTCATGTACAATATTGCGTCATTTCATACAATGGCACTTGTAGAGGCTTTAAATTCTGAACTAAATTAATAAACGTATGTACCTTTGTTGATACTTACCTAAAATTTACACCACATCCTTATATATAACATTTTATTTTGATGTCATGAAAAAAATTTTTAAAAATGTTGGACCCTTTATATTGTAGGGACCTATTGATACTAAAAAAAAAAATCCATACAAAACGGGAGAAAAAATTATTCACCTATCTAGTAACTCAAAAGTGGGGAAGCCTTCTCTCCACGCTTAAA